CCTGGCATGCATCAATGCCACCATTGAGGTTTCCTGCACACAGCATCCGAGAAGTAATCAGATCATCATAAAGCTTGCTGCAGACACTTCGATTAATTATTTTTACTCTAGCTTCTTGCAATGTTTTGGCAAGTTGACCTAGGAAAATAAGTATATGATTTGTAATGTTTCCAAAGACATTAACGAGTTAAGCAATGAGAGATCTGAACATACACTTCACCAGTTTTAAAAGAGAATTGCTATGTAATTCTGCCTCTCTCAGACTGTTTCTGCCCACAGCTTTTGCATGTCCATTTGTAATACCATTTATGTATGATCCTTCAAGAGAATAGAAAGTTGCAAACTTTTTACTGTTGATTTCTTGTATTTCCTTAATACAGTCCTTGATCTTTTTAGACTCAAGGCACCCTTCCAGAATTTTTTTTGAATTAGTGGCATATTTCAAAAACTAAAAAAACAAAAAAAAACAAAAAACAAAACAAAAAAAAATGTAAAGACAACAGAGCAATTTTTCTATTGCAAAAAAACTCAAAATGACCACAACAGGACAGAATGGTTTTGACATCAATATTTATTTGAAATCTCTGGGTTTAATCTTGTGAATCATGCGCAGGTGTTTGCACACCAAACAGGATAATATTGTATGGCACCTTTAGAAGGATCTTAAGGCACCCTGGCTGAACATCATTGCCTTAGTCTTTCCTTTGATTAGCCAGTGCTACTAACAAAGGGTGAGAACTATTCGCAGAAATAGGCTAATAAAAATAAGATAATTTGTATAAGTTTACCTCATGACAGTTCTACCATTTTCCCTCCCAATATTTCACTCAGAGAGGGGTGAAGAGGATAAAAATAATGCCAGCTAGTCATATAGAAGGTTCAACTTTGCTGATATCAACTGTTTGCTATGCTATAGAAAGAGCCAGATTTGGTGCCATTAAATGTTTACCATTCGTGTCACATACGACAGTGTGTAAAGACCTTTAAACTTGGTCTTTACACATTTTTCTAGAATTTTTTTGTAGAATTATGGGAAGAGCATGTGACCTATTTAATTCTACTTAAAGAGACATTTTAATTTAATCAGTTCATTGTTTTAATTGACAGTTTAGGAAATTACATTTTTAAATATCTATTTGCAGTTTATTATTAAGTATCTAAGATGGAGAAGTTTGGGGTTAACTGCTAGATAAAGCTTATCTCAAGAAAGCCAAAATGAGTACAGTAACAACAAAGGATCAAATGCAAGACATGTGGCCATAATACATTTCAAATGACTATTTAAGAGACTGGGACCCACAAGCTCTTGAACTCTGATTCAGATACATACTACTTCTTAGTCTGAGCTAAATCAAAACTTCACAAATAAAGCAAAGTATTCTGGAAGGGAAATGAACAAAGTACAATTTACTGCTAATCCAGGACAATTCCCCTTAGAAACTGAAAACTCATAGGTTATTCTTACAGTTATAGAAATTAAGAATCCTAACATTACTACATATAAGCATTCAGAATCTCTGCAGAACACCTTTTGTGGTTTGGTGCAGGCATTATTTAAAGTTGTCTTGGCTAAAAAGAAATATGTTAGATTTTAACAGATCTGTTAGGTAAACCATAATTATTTTTCTTAGGCCCATGAACATGCAACTCCTTTACAGCCAAAATTTCAGTTAAACTTGCAAGAAACATATCCAGGAAATGAACATACTATTTTCTTTTATGGCTCCCCAGCCAGTTACATAGCAGACAGTTCCATAAAAAAATATTCTAGGGCTGCTGGGTAAACAAATGGGCTGTACCAGCTCACTGAAGAATACTGGCGTTTCCATTTCCAACAGGGCAACATCATAGTCTGAGATATACTGGTCATACCGTGGATGGACAACAATCCTTTTGATTGATCTCATAGCTACATGATTGCTGTTTTTGCTCATGATCCTTATGCCCATGTATGCTTTCCAGCCAGAAGGCACAGAGTATCTGCAAGGTTAATAAAACAACCATGGGGTAAGTAATACAGGACTAGTTTGTTTGGGTAAGAGTTAAGTGGGCTTCAGTTTTCATTGGTCATCCTCAAAAATGAGCAAGCAAGAGAGCAAACAAACATCTTACAAAGCATTTCTAGTAAGATAACTGTTTCGTGTTTTATTTTCATGGGAGGGTTAGGTTTTGTTTTTGCACACTGTTTACATAATCATGCGTTCTGGGAAAGCATTTTTTTGCACTGAGAGATTTCCATCCCAAATTCCACAAAGTCTTCATCTAGGCGTTGTCTAGACAAGTTACATGAGCCAATTAGCCCTTGGGTGGATGCAGCTGTAAAATACTCTGCACCTCTCTTATCCTTAAAATGCAACATTGTGCTTTCACCAGCATAGTGTAACTGCACCTTATCATCATGGCTTCTACTGGCTTACTTGTTCAGGGATTACTTACACCTCTGACCAACAGATCTTCCACTATAAATCTAATCTATAGACATAGCCCTAAAGGAGGAAATTGGCCCCAATATCTGGAAAAAAAACTAGGGAGCAGGTAGGTTAAGGTTTTTTCCCTGACACCACATAGAGCTAAACTGGGAAGGCAAGGTCAGACAGTGTCAGCAGTGACTGCTACACATCAAACCACAGAGTGCTCATATGCCTCAGTTTTGTTTGTGGAAATTACTATTTCCTCTATATAAGCAGTAGCATGCCCATTCTCATTTCTGAGACAACAGGCAAACCTACAGGAAAAAAGACTTCTCTAGCGCCCAGCAATGGCTGCCCCACCTGCCCCAGCTCCCAGCACTTGTTAAAAAAAAACCCTGTCTCAGAGAGTGCTGCTGGGCAGGGGGTGATCCCCGCTGCCCCAACTGCCCTACACTGCAAGGGGGGCTCTGCATGAGCCCCGTAAGCCCTCCTTCACTCCCCCAGCCCCCGCATGGGTGCCCTGCCCAGGCCAGCTCTGACCCTTTAAGAAAAAAAACCAAACAAACCAGAAAACCCCCAGACTCTCCACTCCTGGCAGCGGGGGCGATTCCCACTGCCTCCCACTGCCCCGCACCACATGGGGGGCTCTGCATGAGCCCCCAAAGCCCCAAGGCCACTCCAGGAGCAGAGACCTGGGGCTTTCCTCAGGTTTTATTTTTTCTTAAAGGGCCAGAGCACCCATGAGGGGCTCTGGGGGAGTGGGGCGGAGGTTTAGGGGGTCATGCAGAGCCCCCCATGCAGCATGGGGCAGTGAGGATCATCCCCCCCCCCCCCCACACCCGACCACCCCCGGCGCCACCAGAGCAA